GAGGGTTTTTTTTTTTTTTTTTTTTTTTTTTTTTTGTCTCCATAATTTAGCTAATTAGCTCTCGTTTTTTCAACGGTTATTTCCATTTCCTTTACTGAATCATACCTGTCGGCACCTACCATTGTCAGTCTGTCCTTCCATGTTCCCTTGAAATAAGAGCGATTTATCAACCAGTATTTGTTATTTCATTTTTGTCAAAACCCTTATCTCTACGTTGCTTAGCAACCTTGCTTTCAATGCGGTCTCTTTCTTTCCCTCCTGTAATTTTTTTTTTGCTTTTCACTTTTTCTTTATACACATGCTCTAAAAGATTACGAACTTGCCTAAGACCATTTGGTCGAGTGAATACTGGGAGTTTGGATGGGGTGGAGGCATTGTAAGAGGTTGCAGGTTCGATCTCGCCTTGCTATAAAAACAATTTACCAATTTCTTGTTTTCAATCACAGAATGCAATCATGAGGCACAGAAGTGGGCCACAATATACAAGATCTCTGTTGGCATAGCCAAAGGCCTTGATCATCTCCACTCTGGCCCTGAAAAGCCAATAATTCACGGCAATCTCAAGTCGAAAAACATACTCCTCGATCGCCATTTTCAACCTCACATCTCAGATTCCGGTATACACCTTCTCCTGAACCCGACTGCTGGCCAAGAAATCCTCGAATCCTTAGCCTCTCAGGGCTATAAAGCCCCTGAGCTGATCAAAATGAAGGAGGCTTGTGAAGTGACTGACATTTACAGTCTTGGGGTAATCTATCTTGAGTTGCTTACTGGGAAGGAACCAGTCAATGAGAACCCGACAACACCGGAAGAGGATTTCTACTTGCCGAATTTCTTGCGAAACGCGGTTCTTGGGCACAGAATTGCGGACTTGTTCCATCCGAACATACTTCTCACCAGTTCTGGCACTGATGATGAACAAGTCCCGGTTAGCGAAGAGCGGATTCTCAAATTCTTTCAGCTCGCAATGGCTTGCTGTTCTCCATCACCTTCTCTGAGACCAAACATCAAACAGGTTCTATGGAAGCTGGAGGAGATAGGAAAATGATGACTTGGTCATGAAGAAAATTTCTCTTCTTCAACATCTTCATGATTCAACAAGACATGAAAAACAACAACAAGATGCTGCTGACAATTTACGTGTACAGATAGGAAAACCATAAAATGTGGAAAGAAAGAAAGGAATAGTCTTGAAGCAGAAAAGGTTGAAAATTTTGAACACCCAACAAGGGAATTGTTGGATTCTTGATGTTGATGTTTACTAAGGAGAGGTAAAACACAAAAGGGTAACAGAAACAAATGTGACTCACTCACTTTAGCCATCCAAAAAAGTCCATAGAACATGTTAATTGGGTTGTTTTGTTTGTCGGGATTTAAGATCTCCCTATTCTATTGGCAAGGGATCAGAAGCGTGAAATGGTAAAATTCCTTGGTCCCAACTTTTTTGGCCAAGTAGTGTTAGCTCAAGCATGAAGTGGGATCTTTTGGCAATTTCTCAAAATGTATGGAACTTCAGTTTTGCTTTTGACAATTAATTTATATATATATATATATATACATTTTATTGTTTCACAATTATGGATGTGTCATCAGTTCCCATGCTTCTCATAGAATTCTAGGCAAAAACGTAACAGCTTTCCCCAAGACTTGAAATTGGGGCGACTCCAGATTTCCGTGTTAAACCCCATGTGATGGTTTGCAAGTCAGTTTGTTCTCATCTATAAAGCT